GAATCAGTATTTCTTATGAATCACCAAAGACCCTTAAGAAAAAGGATCTGGAAACTATTTGTAGTAGTGTAAAACCTGTTAGAAATCATGTGTATATTAAAGTTGAAAAAAGATAATAAATATTTTTTTACATATTTGGTATAACAGTAATTTAGTAAATAATGTTAGCTTTGCTGATTTGTAGCTGTGTGCTTTAATAAATATATGAGAAAAGGTACTGATGGACATGATCATTAAAGATTCAGAATCTGTAAGAAGGACCACTAAAATTCTTGATAGGAAAAGAGCTGAGAGTTGGAAACTACTCATCTAGTACAACCCTTATTTTGTTGATAAAAACCTAGGACCCAAAAAGTTCAGTGCTTGCCCAGGATTTCAGTGGTTTTGAGTGGCAGAGGTTGGCTTAAACTTTGCTGCCCTGCCTTTGAAGCGGCTCCACCACCCTGCCTCCTGGGTGCTTCAGCTTAGCTTGAGAACTTTCCCATTCAGCACTTCATGTGTGTGCTGTGACGATATTTTGCTTGTGGTTTTACATGGCTCACTGTTGTGACACTTTCTTGGACAGGGAACAGAAGCACAGATCTACTTGGCTTAAATTATAAAGGGTGCATGCCTATGATCTCAACCCTCTGGGAGGCTGAGACAGGACAATTACAATTTGAGCCCAGCCTGGGAAACTGAGACCTTACCTCAAAACATAAAACGGGGAGGGATGTAGCTCCATGCAGAGACTCTGGATTCAGTCCCCAGTACTGAATCATTATAATTAAGGATCTATTCATACATTCACATACCTTTACAGCCCAGAGGTGTACTCGGGCTAGTTTGACTCAGCAGTTTGTTTAGTAATGCCAGCTTCATCCTTAGGTCTGTTTCTGTCCCATAGGCAAAAGGCCCTGTGACAGGTTTCACATTCACACATCACCCCATCCCAGTAGGTAAAAAAGGTAGCTCAGAAAAGCTCTGGTATTTCTTTCCTCAAAGCTCAGCCTGCTCTTACAACTTGCCCAGGTTATGTCCCATGAAGTTTTGGGGGGAGGGGTGTCACATGAACAAGCTCCTGTGATCAAGGAAGGCCATGCTATAAGTTCCCTGAGCCAGTGACTGTAGGAGAGAATTGCCCTAGAGCTCGAGATACGGTTGGCATACTTGGAATCAAAGAGTACAGAGATGGATACCAGAATGAAATTGGGAAGAGTTACAAAGGAGAACAGAGGCTGGGTGGAAACCAACAATAGTAATCTATCTACTTCATTTAGAATGCTGATATTTAAAATGGAAACTTTTTGTCTAATCAGTTTTTTTTTTTTTTAGAAAATAACAATATTTTCTAACAAAGAGGAAGCATCGTAGTAATATTTCATTATAAAAATCTTACCAGAGTCAGGCATGGTGGCCCACCTGTAACCCAGCTACTTAAAAGGCAAAGGCAAGAGGGTAGCAAGTTCAAAGCCAGCCAGGGCAACTTAGACCCTGTCTCAAAATTTTAAAGGCCTGAGGATATAGCTTAGCAACAGGGAAGCCCTAAGTTGAATCTCCAGCAAAGAAAACAAAACAAGCATTGGCCCAGGGCTGCATCCCAGAAGAGCCCTGTCTCCCTTGTACATGAGGTAGTCTTCAGCAGTCAGGTAGCTTCTTGTCCCACAAAAGATTCTTACCCACGAGTGACACATCACAGTGAAGGCCTGGGTACCCTGACCCGCCATAGTTAAGCAGCTTTCTTCAGCTGGGTCCTGGTCTTCCCTAAGAATACGGACATAGACCCATATAAGTTCAAGTTTAGGACACAAAATCTCCAACTTCCATAATGTTTTTCTAATAACACATTTGTAGCCTGGCTCACCCCCATTAATTTTAAATGAATACTGGCTAGCCAGTCTGTAAGTTTATGTGATCACACTGTTTTTGCTCTATACTCTTCTGAGGATCCTGGCTTTGAGGGAGCCCATAAATGAAGTTTGAAAGATAAGTCATCCAGCTATGCTGACTCATCCTGTGGTGATCTAGCCCTGCACCTTCATCCCTCCTATAATAAAAGATAACCACTTCTGCAGAAGAGGTTCAGTAATTACTAGCTTAGGTACCTACACTATACATTAACAGAACTAGAGAAGGAAATTCCTGGCTCATTCTGCCCTGGAGGCTGGCACAGACTTCGGACTCCTGGCTGAGCCATCCCATTCCCCTCTCTTGGAGGCTAGAGAGAGACTGGGAATATGAGTGGCACCTTCATAGTATATAAAGTTTCAAATAGCTAGAAAGTCACAAACGTTGGAAGGTGGTTTTCTGGCCTATGAGCTACTGGCATGCTCTTCTTAGATTCAAGGGATTTGATTAAATAGTTCCAAAAAAGGCAGAAAATAAATTTCAGGATCCACCATGGCTCTGAGTTCAGATTGTTTTAATGCCTGTGACTTTCACTTACATCCAAGAGGTGGCACTGTAATGCAGAGCAGAGTCACCCATAATTTGAAGGGAATTCTTTCCCTTTGAAGTGAGCCAGCACTTTTAAGAGGTCTGTTCTGCAGTCACAAGGGTCTCACAAACTCTGATCCATCTGGTCTGCAGAGACATCCCTTAGGTAGACCCTCCTATCTTCAGGAGGTGATCTGAGGACAGTGTCGTGTGGAGTCAGTATGGTCCTGAGTACTTTCCCTAAGTGCATCGTTCAGGAATCCCATATAGTCTTTCTGAAAGTGCAGTTTAGCTGGGCGACTGGCAAGGAACTAATTTCTAATCAAGATGCCCTCTTGTCACTTGAAGTGTAGTACACACCTGCCAAAGTAGGCTGTACAGTGGCTTCCTCTAGTGAGTATATTCTGTCCACTTGGGAGAGCTCTTGAGGACTGCTTATAGAGAACTTGCAATCAGGGAGCCATGATCATCTGGAGCTCCCGTTTCTGCTGGTTGCTGAGGATGACCTATTACATTTTTTTTTTTGTATTGGGGTTTGAATTCAGGGCCTTTACACTAAGCTATATGCTGTCCTTTTTTAATTTTTTAAGACAGGTTCTCACTAAGTAGCTAAGCTATCCAGGCTGGAGTTAGACTTACAATCCTCCTGCCTCAGCCTCCCAGCATACTGGAATTTTATTTTATTTTTATTTTTATTTGTTTTGAGACAGGGTCTTACAATGCAGTCCAGGCTGGCCTTGAACTCACTATGTAGGCCAGGCTGACCTCAAACTCACTGAGATCCTCCTGCCTCAGCCTTCTCAGTGCTGGGATTACAGGTGTGCGCCTCCACGCCTGGCTCAGTGCTGGAATTATAGCCAGGCTGTCTCCTCTGGGTCAACGCTGGAAACAATGGCCCTTCAGAGCCAGGAACTTTTTCTGGGCTGTAAGACCATCTACACACAGGGACTTTCTTCAGACAATTCTTACAATCAATTGGTAAGGTTTTTTAGTATCTTATAACCCTAGTTATTTGTCTCAGTGTCCATCAAGTCCCCTTTATGGGTAAGAGTTTGGACACAGGTGAGTCCCCAAACTTTACAGCCACACGTTAGACTCTTTGATCATTTCTACATGAAATTCACCTCCTCTGTGACACAGCCTATCAAAATTGTTTCAAAGCCTTTGATTTCCTCAGAGATGCCTGGGGAGAATGAGTCACTGTGGAGAGAGAGTGAGGCAAGTCACCAGAACTGCAGGCCTGTTACCCTGTTCATCTGAAAGCTGTTCTGTCCCATCCCAGAGTGGCTACTGAGCACTTAAAATGTGGCTAACTGAATTTAGAAAGAAAAAATAATAGCATCAGAGAAACAAGCTCATATTAGAAACAACACAACAGAGAAGAGGCTAAAAGTCAGATATGGGATTTAGAGGGCAAGACAGAAGAATAAGCAAAGAAAGAAAATGACAGCTATGGAAGTCAGAGAAAGGAATATCAACATATACACAATAGGGGTCCTGAAGAAGAGAACCAGGGGCATGGCTCAGAACAAATACTTAAATGCAGAATCAGGAAAATCCCCAAGAAATAATGACAAAGAGCATTCAATAGACAAACAGTACAGTTCTCACTTTGACAATTAAAAAAGCCTGTGACCATCCAGACAAAAAGTTCAAGTCACACAGGAAGGGAGACATGTTGCTGATGGGAATATGAACCTTTAGTGTTTAAAAATGTGTCAGCATGTCTTAAAATTAAAACTGATCTTTTAACCCAACAATTTTACTTTTGAAAGTATTCCCCAATACACACACACACAGCAGCAGCAGCAGCATGGGCAAAAAAAAAACCCACCTCATATAATCAGTGACAAATCCATACTATGTAACATTAAAATTATATCATTACTTTTTAACATATAGCTACTGACCTAGAATTATGTTCATTACATTCTGTTAAGTCTTTTTTTTTTTTTTTTTGGTACCAGGAATTGAACTCGGGACCTTGCACCTGCGAGGCAGGCACTTGTGCCACTCAGCTATATTGCCAGCTACATTCTGTTCAGTTTTATTGTGTATCTATGATATGCAACCCATAATAGGAAGAAAGGAAAAAATGGACACGTGAGCATAGCAAAAGAAGCATACACAACAGGTTGGAGGCAAACTATTATTACATTATTTTTATGCACAGAATGTACATTGTTAAGGAAATTTTTGAATGAGAAAAAAAAAAACAAAGCTTTGCCTTTAGTAATTAGAGCAGGTTTATTTACTTAGTTCAGACACAGAGACTGGAGACTCTTTAGGGAATTCAAGGAACTGGCAGTGGAAAAAAACCATGAGATCATCATCACTTCCTCTCCTGATGCCCTCCCAGGAGAAGTCACTGAAACTCAGAGAAAATCTAACTGGTAATTAATACATGGAATGCTCAGTGCCCCTGAGGAATAGGAATGAAAACACCAGCTGAACTGGCCCATGAAGACACTGATGAAAGATTTTGAACTGAACTGCTTAGACACAAGTCAATCCACAGATGCTCCCTCTAACTCTGGAGTTACAAACCTGACCCTGACCAGGTACCCATTATGTGCCTCATCTACTGCTATTTGATTTTTCAAAAACATTTTTATTTTTTAATTGATGTATAATGTAGGTACTTATTTATGGGGGTACCCTATTATAATTTGATACATGTATAATATATGTAATAACCAAATCAGGATAATTAGAATTTTCATCTCCTCAAATATTATTTCCATTAGGAATATTCAGACTCTTCTCTGGTTATTTTGAGATGTATAATTACTAGTTGTAGACTATGGTGATCCTCTAATGGGGTGAACCCCATTAGAACTGCTTTCCCTCCCTCACATAATTACCCACTACCCACCCTACCTCTACACTCCTTCGTATTCCCCTTCACAGTTTTGTACTCCATTCTATTCTCTGCTTCTCTGGGATCAAATTTTAGCATCTGCAAATGAAAACGTGGTATTAGTCTTTCTGTGTCTGACTCACTTCACTTAATGGTGACTTCCCCTCCAGTACCAACCCATGTTGCCACAGTGACAAGATTTCATCCTTTTTATACATATGCTTTCACTCCAAGGAGTGGTCAGGTCATATATTAGTAGTTATGATGGAAGGCTTGTCTTCTTTGTTAACTGCTGCTTTTATCCTGTCCTGTAAATCTGAGGGTACTATCTACAGTTTTTCTAATCCAACAGACCTCAAGGTAAGCAAACTTCTTAGAGGTGAGAATCTCTCCAGTGCCAAAGGCCTTACGTGGTTACAGCTGGAGAGTTACCTCTCCTTCACCCCTGGGGTATCCTTGTGGTACAGTCCGACTGCAGGCATCCATGCAGCCGGCTTGGCCCTGCACTATTCTCTCCCAGAATGTGCACAATTCAAAGACTTTCCACTCCCATCCTTATTTTCCGAAGAGCTGGTCCCTGCAGATGACCAGACCTCTGGAAAAGAAGACATACTTGCTCTCAAGGTTGCCTTGGAGTCCAGTGGTCTAATCTACAATTGGACTTGCTGACTTGGCTTCCATAATGAACACAGCAGGAACCAGGAGAGATCTTTGTGTAGATGATCAGAATGTCAGTACAAGTATGATAAGAAAATATGGTGAAAAATTTTATTACAGCAGAAGTCACATTGCCATTAATCCCCCTCAAAAGCTACACCCCTGGGGCTGGGGATTTAGCTCAGCGGCACAGCGCCTGCCTGGCAAGCGCACGTCGTGAGTTTGATTCCCGGTACCGGAAAAAAAAAAAAAAATACACACAAAAAGCTACACCCCATGCTTTGCACACTTACCCTATCATTCTTGCCACTTTCTGAAGCACTTCTGGAAGTTCACTTTTGTGTCTTTAGTTGCACTGTCATGGCTGCTTCTGTGTCCTGAATCAACTTAAAACATTTAGCTTTCACGGTCATTTTGACTTTGAAGAAGACCCAGACATCCCATGTTGCCAGATGCAGCGAATAAGGTCGATAACACACTGTGATGTTTTTAGGAGCCTGCCTTTCCTTTGGCTGGTACCCAGCAGCAACACTTACTATATTTTATATTGCATCTCATAAAGACAGTCACAAACAAGTCTTCCAGAGCCGCTTCAGAAAGTGGCAAGAACAATGGTATAAGTGAAGCAAGGGGAACTTGAGGGGGCTTAATGGCAGTGTGTGTTTTACCGTAATAAATTTTATCTAAACACACCATATTTTTTGATCAGCCTGTGTATATATGAATCTTGAACTGTTACTCTAAATACTAACAATATTAACTTCTCCCAGTGTCAAGAGTGCTTTCTCCTATTGGTCTTAATTCATTCCAAGTTTAAAACTCAAGAATTTTTAAAGCATACTTTGTGAAGTTTATAAACAGGAAAGGTTCTTTCTGTGAGTCTATCTATGGTTTATATCTACATGGCCCCCAGAGCCTCATGTACTCACAGGTAGGGCTTTAGGGAGGTGCCTAGATCATGGAGGCATGATAGTCAGCAGTGGATTAGTACACAGGAGTTTACAGTTAAATGTGCTGCAGAGAGGTGGAGTCTGGTAGGAAGGGGTGGGTGTGTGGCGGTGTCGCCTGGAAGGATGTATCTCCCTCCTGTTCCTTCCTTCACTGTGCTTCCCTGCTGCCAGGACACAACACGTGCCCCTCTCAGCCCCAGCCTTCTCTGCCATGCCATCCTGCCTTGGAACCAGCTGACCATGCAAAGATTAAAACTTCTCCAACATGGGTCAAAGTAAATCTCTCCCCTTTAAGTTGTGGGTGTCAGTGTTGTGTCTTAGTGATGAGGGAAATGACTAAGACAGACCAATATAGTTTTTTCACATAAAATTAACCAGACTATATAGTATTTCAAAGCCCTTATTTATATTTATTCACTCGATTCTTTTTTCGTTAAAATACAGGATACTAAAAGAAAAATCAAAATAGGCTTTTCAGTGAATGGAACAGCTTATACATATAATTCCTCTTTGTCCAACAGTAACTGAGTAAGTGCTTTCCCAAGTACCATTTTCAGTCAACAAGTCCAGTGGTCTCACAAGCTGCCTCAGCCTGGGAGTTGTTATTTCCTAACGGAATAAATTTTTCTCTCTCACTACAGACAGTGCTAACTAAAAGTCAGTGGCCTAGGGCATAGATATCTGTACATATCCACCCAAATCTGTGTTTGGGTTCTGCTAAAGTTTGGATCTTACGTGTTCCTGAAAGGGCCACATACAAGAAGCTTAAGTCCTTGGCCCATGGTACTGCTAGGAGGTGATGGAACCCTGGGGGGATGGCGCCTAGGGGGGATGAAATCAGATAGTGGGCGGGGGGGGGGATACTTGCACCCCACCCCTTTTTTGTCACTTCCATACCACCATGAAGTGAACAGGTCTCCTGAACTGACACATCTAACTGCCAGGCTCAATAACATTAAGGCCAACTTACCATGGACTGAAACCATAAGTCAAACCTTTCCTCCTTATAAGTTGCTTATCTCAGGTATTTTGTTACTTAATAGAATGCTAATGCAGATTAATGAAATAAAATAGTAGAAAATTTTTAAAGTGTAAAAATACTGCATTTAGGAAAAAAGTTTTTATTAGAGTTAAAAATTAGTGCTATCAGTAACTTCAGAGTGAAAGATCATTTCCTTCTGTTTTAGCATTCTCAATTTAAAACTGACTGTTATGCTTTGTGTCTGCATGTCCCCCCAAATCCTCATGCAATCATGGGGTGGGCTTCTAGAATTTGTAATTGATCCATGATCCAAAGCTCAGTTTATGGGTGTGAGTGCCCCACCCACCCTGGGGCTAGTAGTTTGCATACATACAATGTAAAGGAAAGAGGCTGCTTGCCGCAGCTCCTCCCTTTTGCTCTTGTTTTTGCTGTGTTCCACCACCATGAACCCTTGCCCTCTGCCATGTGCCACTCTGCCTTGGAACCAGCCCAGTATGGACTGAAACCTCCACAAACTGTAAGCTAAATAAACCTTTCCTTCCTTAATTTTGGGTGTCAGGTATTTTGTCTCTGCAACAAGAGCAAAGTAACTGAGACACTGACATTTCAGTCAGTTGTGGGGACACATACCAGTAGTCTTAGCTACTCGGGAGGCTGAGGTAGGATCATTTAAGCCCAGGAGTTCTGGACCCCTGTTTTGTAAGGGGAAAAAAAGAAAACTGACATTTCATTACTCTTAATTCTATCAAAGTTTTGTTTTCTTTTAGGCATAAAATACAAAGGGAAAATTAAAACCTGGTCTGTTGAGCATTAAAAGGAATGCAGCTTTGGAAACTAAAACACTGTTAGAAATCTTCCTGGACATCTTTCTGCTATAAGGTTTCAAGAAGTCAAACACTATTCTTAGAGCAGGGACTCAAGGTTATTACTGTCTGGATTCCCCAAATCCTTCTAAGACACAAGAATTAACCAAACACAAAGGCTCTAGATCAAATCTCCAGCAAAGCTATTCTCAAAGGACATTAGTCAACATTTGACATTTTAAAATCAGTGCCAATTTTTAAACAGAAATGCTAACTTTAGCTCAGCTTGTACACAAATTTTGTTCCACATTTGAAGTGTTTGTCATTTCATAAAGGACACAACTTGCTTTTTGAATTCACAGATGAATTCACATAAAGAAAGTCACAAACACTTAATTCTCAAGGCCTCCTGCCCTTCCTCATCTATGATCAGCTACTCTGCCTCCTTCATGTCAGCACTCTGCTTCAGCTTACCAAGTATTTTCCTGCCACTACTTCAGCAAATGCTTCTGTTGCACCTGTTATGTGTCCCTGGGGGTTTAATAGTCATAATCCTAGTTTTTGTTAAGCTCTTTGTCATTTTATTCTGTGAGGGTGGTAGGGTAGATACTCTTCCCATTTTTACAAGTGAGCTAATAATATAAAAGTTTAGGTCATTTTCTCAAGGTATGGACCTTGCAAGGACAGGACTGGAAGCCAGGACTCCTTGTGCCTAGTGCTGTATGCTAGTACAACAGACTATTTTAAGTTCTGTGTAACATGATTTCAATATTTTGTTTACACTCAGATAAGTGTTTTTTTCCATGTTACTGTCTTATGAAATAGAAACCATGCCTTTTATTTCATCCTGTTTTTAAGCACATAGGGCAGCCTAATAGAGACTGCTGCCAAAAACCAAAAAGCTACCAGTACTAAAGAGATTATTCATTCAAAATGCAGATATAACACGTTAAAAGGATTTTCCCTAGTTTTGCAAGTAGGGCTGATACTCAGGCCCTATGCAAACCTGGCTGTACCAGATGTTGCATTTTTAAATAGTGTTGGGAAATGTCTCTTCTGAGCATCCTAAGAAGCATCCTGCACTCCAGTCCTGTCTTTTGAGTCCACAGCTGTCTGTACCTGCGGTTAGTAGCTGCACAGCAGAGGGTCCTGCTCTGTCAGCTGCTGTCCTAGCATGGTCAGTGCCTGTGTTTTATCAGTTCATAAGTATTTTTGTGTATTTTTTTGTTTCTGATTTTTACTGTTTATCTCATAGATATTTTTAATGACCCCTCTGCTTTCAGAGAAGATCCTGAGGTGCAGTCAGGCCATTGTTGACTCTCTAAATTTTGGACTACTGCCTACTGATATAATTAGAAGGGTACAGGGAAAACCTTACATGAAAATTTTATTTACATCTCACTATGAAAACCTGGTTTTCTTTCCAATAAAATACAGTAGGGGTGGCTCTTCATGAAGAGAGGTGGAGGGGATAGAGGGAACAGCATAGAGAAGCACCTGGAGAAGTTCATCTCAAGGGCCCAGGCCAGGGATGGTGAATCTTTCAGAGCTTTCAATGGTAGCACACAGCCCACAGTGGGATGTATGCCAGAGGTTCACCACCACTGGCCTAGGCAGAGGTGCTAAGAGAAAAGTCAACAGATTTAAGAAGTTGCCCTTTGCCCTTCTGACCTGTGATGAAACCTGTACTTCTAATTGTTACTCTTAAACTAAGTCCTTTTCAACAAATATGAAGAGCATAGCAATTAAAAAAACACATCTTACCATATTAATAAGTGGACTAAATGGCAAAACTCAAGAAGTTGCTAAATCTTTAAAAATTTGATATGAATAAAACTACTGTAATAACCACTAAATGATTTGAAATAGAATGATTTCCCTGAAAGGAGTAACAACATCATTGTACTTTTAGAAAGGGAAGCAGCAAAGGTATGCACGTAGAAATGAATATGACTCTGTAAAATCAACCCACAGTGTAAGTACCAAAAAAAGGAGAGCCGGTATACGTGAATAAGCTTTTATGTAACATGAATTTTTTTTTCCTGCTATGTTTTAAGTTAGCAAAAAGCCTTAGTTTGTATAAAATGATGTGTGCCCTAATTCTGCCTACCACCAGACCAAGATCCTAAACTAAGAATGAATCCTTTCTTATTTTACAGCGTTATTCTTGTTTTTCCTCTAAAGAGACCGAATTAGTTGTAGACTAACTATACCCATAGAGTAAGCAGTCACAAAGTACCACAGTCATATAACGGAAGCCAAAATCAGTATAGTACAGTTGTTTTACCTTGCAACTGCTCCTGTTACACACCGTAAGCAAGCATTGTGGTGCCTTCATGAACTGATTGTACCACCTCTATAGAATTTTAGAAATAAGCACATCTGAGTTGGAATCTAATAGGGGTATTCTTTTATCTTACAAAGCAAAAGCAAGCATTTTTTTATTTGAATTTTTTATTTTTATCTTAGAACTTCTGGAGGTCAAACAAGGAAAATATATCAAACTCAAAGCGTTATGAAGCCTTGAAATGAAAAATCTGATGTAGAAGTCAAGCAGTATAATCCGCAATATTTTTAGGGGAGTATTTATTTTCAGCAACCATTACATCTTTCTGTAAGATCTATTTTTTAAAGTCTCAAGTTCCAAAACATTAATAATCCATTCTCTAAAATAGGATGGAAAACTGTGATCAACAGGACACATGAATTTCTTTGTCATACTAACAAAGTAAATGATTTTATTAAAAGATGTCACCATCATTTCTATCAGTAGTAACCATAGGAAGGCCGCTGGTTATAACCATATTGTCCATATTGCTGTGGATAGTAAGGCTCTTGTCTGTGCTGTGGGTAATTGTTACCCCAGGGTCGTCCATGCCACTGGTTTGATCGATTGTCACTTGGCCACCCCCGTCTGCTGTCCCTACCTCTAAATTGTCTGTTATCTTGCAACCTACAACAACAAACAAAACAGCTTTTGAAATTCTCTTCTTAAAAAAACAAAAACATACATAATAACTAGCACATTTGAATTCTCAATCTAACATAATCTAAAATGAGATTTTAAGATACTTTCCTACAGAGAATGTTATAGCACCAGTTAATTAGGACTTTGCTAAGAGTTTAATCATTCTTCCAGTATCATACTGGATACAATTTACAAAGAAATAAGCAAATAATAACAAAACCCAAACAATACCATACTTCTGGATTGACTGAAATCTATTCAGTTGTATAAAATAAGCATGGTAATTTATTCTTTTGATTATTTTGAATGATTAGATAATTTCCATTTTATTAATTTCTAAAGTAAAATCAAAACAATACTTTAAAATTTTATTTATTTATTTATTTAGTGGTACTGGCAGATTGAACCCAGGGGCACTCGACCACTAAATTTTATCCCTAGCCCTTTAATTTTGCAACAGGGTCTAAATTGCCTATGCAGGATTCAAAATTGCAGTCCTTCTACCTCAGCCTTCCTCAGTGCTGGGATCATGTACCACCGCACTCAATAAAACAATTACTTTTTTTTTTGTTTTGTTTTTGTTTTTCTCCGGTACCAGGAACCGAACTCATGACCTTGCGCTTGCCAGGCAGGCGCTTTTGGCCGCTGAGCTAAATCCCCAGCCCCTAAAACAATTACTTTTTTTTCGGTGGAATTATGCACAAAGACTACTTTATAAAGTCTAATTGCAAAGCAGAATTAGTCCTCAAAAAGAACATTTAAAAAAAGATTTTAAAACATACAGTTGAACAGGAAGGAAAAGAATGAATATATGGTGCTGAAAAACTATTAAAGAAAATATTTATCAGCATTTACTCTGTGCAAGCACTGTTAGCAGGCAGCAGGTATACTATACTGAAAACACTGGTTGCTGCCTTCTCTGGTGCAAGTCAAGCAATTAAAGCCATCCTCTCCCACATCGCCATGCACGTTTGTTCTCTTGAAGTAATACATACCGATTGCCCCTGTTTCTCTGGTTCCCACCAGCTCTGCTATTCCATTCCTCAATAATTGGAGGGGATTCAGGGGGGCGTTTCAAATAATCCTGGTATTCTTTGTCATCTTTTGTGAATCTGTTTGCAAACATCTCTTCAAAATTTGTAGTAGCTTCAGAAGTGTCAGTCATCCTGAAATTCTGTAGGTTAAAAAATACGTTTCTCTTAGAATTTTTTAAAATTAATACTATCTTAACAGATAATGAAAAAAGCAAGTGAACAATTTTTAGCAGCATCACACACCTTTAAACTTAAGAATTCAGTCCATTTCTCTCTTTTTTTTTTTCAGTTTCACTAAGTTCCCCAGGCAACTTGTGATCATCCTGCCTCAGCCCCCCAAGCAGGTGGGAGTACAGGTGTGCACCAGCACATCTGACCAACATTTCTTGGATACTAAATTCCAGGCATTGTGCTATTTAGGACATTGCAATGCAAACATAAACAATATAATGGGGACCCTGTCCCCAAAGAGATCTCAGACTAGTAGAAAAGCTTTGGCATAAACCTGAAAGGGAAGCCAAACATAGTAGTGCATGCCTATACTCACAGAACTCGGGAGGCTGGGGCAGGATCATTTTGAGTGAGGCCAGCCTGGACTTCCCTGTCTTAAAAAACCAGAACATAAATAAAGGGAGAAGCAGAAGATGCCAAAAAAATGAGGCTGGAAAGGTAAGTAGTGAACAAACTGAAAAATTTTGTGTTCAGTGCAAACAATTTTGCATTTTTTTTTCCTGGTAGGCAATGTGAAGTTACAGGTGGCTGAAAAGGGAGTCTCTAGATCCAATTATCTGGATAGTCTACTTTAGACAGTATGTCTTATCAAATATCCTACTTCCAGTTTGTCTAGGATTGGCAAACTGTCAAATGCTCAAATCTAAGAAATGAATTTAAAATAAATTTAACTAATTAAAGCCCATAGCTCTTCGCATAGGAATCACATAAGGCATTAGAAAGAATGAGCCACTCCTAATCCAGATGGGCAGCACAATCATAAGGAAAATGTGCTACTCTATGTTTGTGTTCTCTCAGAGATTCCCTCTCCAACACACATGTAAACAAATACTATATTCATAAAATAGAATTTCAACAACTGAATCGATGCAAACTCACCTCAAAGATTTGAGGCAGCTATTTAATGTTTAGTACTATTTAATATTTATATCTGTGCAGGGGGAAAAACACTTGGAGGAAACCCTTTAAAGATGGGAGTCAAAACAGGTGGAAATTTAAGGGCCTTAGTCAATGAAAGGGCTGGATTAGAAGTGCTCTAAACCAGGTGTGATGGGGGTATACCTGTAATCCCAGCCTGAGGCAGAAGGACCACCAAATTCCAGCCTAGCCTGGCAATTCAGTGAGACTTTATCTCATGATAAAAAAATAAAAACTGCTGGGGGCATAGTTCTGTGGTAGAGATGCTTGCTTAGCATGTGTCCGTCCCTGGATTCATTCCCCAGCACCTGGCCAATTTTTTTCTTTTTTTGGTCTTTCTGAGACAGAGTCTCGCTATGCAGTTCAGGCTGGCCTTGAACTCACTTTGTAGCCCAGGCAGGCACTGAACTCAGCGATCCTCCTGCCTCAGCTTCCCCAGTGGTGGGATTACAGGCATGCGCCACCATGCCCGGTTTGACCAACATTTCTTGACTACTAAATTCCAGACACTGTGCTAACTAGGAGCCTGCAATATAAATTATGACCACTACATCCTGGACCCAAACGGCGCTCTAAAGACTGCTAATATTCCTAAAAGAGAACTAAAACTTACACTGCAGAGCTAGAGGAGGCTACAAAACGTGTCCTCTGGGCCTTCAAAACCAACACGGTAGTTCAAACATTAACAACTTCCCGAGGTATATTCTCTTCTGTTGAAAACAAGGCTACGGCCTTTCAGATCTACACCCGAGCAGGTCTCATCTATTCATACAAACAACACCATACAGCACCATGGTGATGACTAATCTGGCCGGGGTCTGGCTGCTCTGGGAAGCGACCCCACAGAACAGTGGTGGCCAACCTATGGTCCTTGTGCCGCAGCGGGCTGTTTGTATTATTGAAAGTTCTAAAAGGTCCATCACTGAAACAGACGAAGATACATGAAGAGAACTGCGCTATTCAGTCCGACCTCAAAGCACGTCACAGGTTGTTTGCCTGGGCGCTGACAGATCTGCTCCCTCCAGCAGCGCCGGACCGGTCCAGGCGCAGGGACTCCGCAGGCTCTGCAGGAGTGGCTTCTGGTCGCGCCAGACTCCAGACCACCGCAAAGACCCTCGCGAGCCATACACCTTGGCCTGCCCCGTCCTCGTCCCCGTCGCCCCGCGCGGGAGACTCACCGCCAGCCGCTGTGTCCGTCCCGCTCCGGCCCAGCCCCGTTGAGACACTCGCAAGTGCAGCGACCTCGGGCTGCCACACAGCGAAACTGAGGACCTTTTCGGCTCTCCAAGGTAACGGAGCCGCTTCCGCCTGCGTCCCGCAACCACCTGACTTCCGCTTCCGGAGCGCAGTGTCGCGATATCTGGCGCTCGCTGTGGCTTACTACTTTTGACGGCACCCCTTCGAATGTTGGCGCTCGCATCTGAGCTCTATGGGCGGCGGTGGAGGTCCTCGGGTGGGCGATGCTGCCCCTCCGCTCTCATCCTGCCTGGTGGCGGGGCGGGAAGACGTCGCCTCTGTCTGCACCCCTGACTAGGAGATGGGGCAGAAGGGAGGGAAGGCGCGTTCCCGCCGCCTTCTCCCAGGGCGTGGAGAACCGTGAAGCGTGGACGCGCCTGGATCTGAAGCGAGGCCACAGTCACTGCTCCCTGAGCGGGGGTTTTGTGGTCCGCTTTGTACGCCTTTTTACCGAAACACCGTCTCTATTGGCCATTTCTTCTTGAATGTTCCGCAAGTGTGTAAACAGTCCACTACCCGGGACATAATTTTTGCTCTTTTTCCTCCCAAATTGCTTCCCGGGCTGCACTTTTTGTCAGTACGGTTAACTTTTTTCCCTCATAATTCTGCAAATGGAACACATGACCTGTGCACTGAGCTATGTCCCCGGCCCTTTTTATTTTGAGATTGGGTCTCTCTTAGATGCTAAATTACTCAAGGTTGACTCGAATTTGAGATCCCTGGTCTCGGCTTCCCAGAGGAAGGGCCAATCAGGAGAGGCTGTTTTTCCAGCCAAGTGTGGTGTCCAAATCCTGTAATTCCAGCACTCAGGAGGCTGAGGCGGGAGGATCACAGCAAGTTTGAGGCCAGACTGGGCTACATAGTGAGATCAAGTCTAGTCTGAACTACACAGGGAGACCCTGCCTCAAAAAAAAATCCTTCATTTGCAGGTGGGCACCACTAAGAGACACTGTTCTTGATCCTTTATTTACATATGGCAGGAAGCCAAGTGATTGGATAACATAGTTTGCACATGATATGATGTGAAGTTAATGTATGATAGGAAGACTGTCCCAATGGCTTTTTTGCAGGAGAGGGAGATAACTCCGGAATTTTGGATTAAAAAAAAACCTCATTCCCTTATTATACTGGCCTGCTTTCATTGTGCAGAGCATACTTCTTTCCCACTTTTGATAAATGTAAACCTTGACTGCCTTTTCTGTGTATCTTGTCGAGTTACTTGTTCAGGACAGCAAGGACTTGGAAAGAAGCCCCATGGGAGTGTCTGTCCAATTACAAGAGTGGTAGGGTTATAGGCCTTTGCCAACACTCCTACTACCAACTTGGAAATTTTGATTTGCAAGTTACTAAGTAACTTCTTAGTACCTTATTGCTGTACAATTGGATGCTTTTCCTTTCCATGCTTTAGTCAGTTGCCAAGTGCTGTGGACTCTACCCCTGCAGCAATTCTGGCATCCACTCACACACACACACACATGCACTCTCGCATGCGCACACACACACTATCTCCACCTATTTAGAGTTCTATCATCCCTGAACTGTGCAAAGGCAGTGGCTTTCTCATTGGTGCCCTTCCTCAAATATCACTCCCCTACCAGCATATCTGACATGTAACTGCTATAGGTTTAGTCATATTGAAGCACAGCTATGATGCCAAATGTTCAGAGGCTCCTGTTGCTTCCAAGGCCAAATTTATTATTTAAATCTAAAATTCTTTTTCTTGCTCCATCTGCCTGTGGTAAATCAGTGGAGTACTTCATGCATGGACACTTGTTACATTCCTATAAATTGACTGTGTCTCTTTTCATCTTAGAATACGCACACACACACACACACACACACACACACACACATCTCTACATGAATTCTAAAGTTTTACAAGAGATATATCCATCTAGAAATAAGTTTCCTTATATTTTGTGAACTTTGTGCATTCAGTTATTATCACTTTCTAAATCTGAGCAGGAATTATTTACAAACAAGTCTTCCTATTAGACTGTAAACAAACCTTTATCTAATTTATTTCCACATTTCAGAGTGTAAAACATTGTGATTCATGTAAAGTAAGACTTGAGTAAATATTTGTGGAATAAGTGATAGAATTGTGCCTGGTCCTGACTCTGTTTTAGAAACATTAACATAGCAAACGTATAAAATAGTGCGGATGTGGAGTTATGATAGTCTTGGTGTTGAGTAGTGAAGATGAGAGGTGTCATGACCAAGGCTACAACAATTGCAGTAGTACTATTCTTAGTAACCGAGTGGATGGTAGGAAAGAAGAGTGGAAGAAGAGAAGGTTCCAATTTGTGAGCCTGAGTGATTCGGGCTGAAGATAGGTATCTATATAGTAAATTAATTTTACAGCAAAAATGAGCCCAGAGTTCAAATAGATTTCTAAAATTTTTAGATGGTAATGAACTATCCAAGAGAAAATTTATAAAGATGGTTAGAGATACAGGGGTAAAGCTCAGGAAAGAGACTGTGCCTAAATATGAAAATGTGTGATTAAGATCAGAAGGCCAAAGACTGTACCTGAGGAAATATTCATGTGTAGGAAACAAATAGACGCTATAAAACTTGAAGAGGAGCAGTGTAACAGTTGAAAAGTGAAGAAAACGGTTTCCCCACCTTGTTTCAGGAATCAGGGGAGGTATTTGGAAAGAAGGAGGTTGTTGTAGGCCAGTTTGCTTCTTTCTGATGTGTTGATTAGCTTTCTATCACTGTGACAAAATACCTGAGATAATAAACTCAAAAGGAAAAAGGTTTATTTTGGCTCACAGTTTCAGAGGTTTCAGTCCATGGTCACTTGCCCTGTTGCCAAGAACCTGAGGCAGTACAGTATATCATGGTGGGAGAGCATGACCAAGAGTCCTGTTCGCTCATGACAATGAGAAGCAAGAGAGAGACAGGAAGGAGCCAGGGTCCCAACATCCTCTTCAAGGGCACTCTCTAGATGACCTAACTTCTGTCCACTAGGCCCCACCTCTTAAAGGTTCCATCTCCCAATAGCACCACAGGCTCATTACCAAGTCATTAATACATGGGCTTTTGAGAGGACAAGGGGACATATCAGATTCAGACTACAGTAGAGCACATTGTGACTATTATGGCACTATTTGTAAGTAAAAATAATGTATTCCTTTCCTTTACATTCATATATAACACTCAGGAGTTCCTAGGCTTCTGAGAATTTCTATGAAGAATTACAGGTGTTCTAGCCAGTTTTCTAAATTTCAAGTGAAACCGAATACTCTGACATCTTATCAATTATCACATCTAAATTTTGTGACATCAGGAAATAATCTGCTCCATGAAAGAATTTTCTAGATAACTGACAGACTTTAAACTTTAAAACTTTCCACTAACTCATCATTGATGGAAGTGTACATGAAATTTAGTACTTCTGTGGCATAACTAGAATATTTGGCCTATAATTTAATCTTTACTTGATAACTACAGGTCATTGTTGATGTGTCAGCTATTATGTTATGCTGGATAGCACTATTCTAGGGCCTGGTAATATGTATAAAAAAGTTGCCTTTTATTTATTTTTTTTCTATATTGGGGATTGAACCCAGGCCTTCACACTGACCTATATCCCCAGGCCTTTTAAAATTTGTGTAATTTTGAGACAAGTTCTTCCTAAATCACAAAATTGCCCAGACTGGGCTTGAACTCACAGTCCTCCTACCTCAGCTTTCCAGAATGTTTGGATTACAGGTGTGCACCACCACACTCAGCTAAGATTGCCTTTAAAGAGATGATTTTTGGGCTGGGGATGCAGCTAACTAAAGGAGTGTACACTTAACATGTGCAGGGTCCTGGGTTTAATCCTCACCACACACACAAAAAAGTTGACTGTGCTGTCTTTGTTATTTTCTCCCTCCACATTAGGAGTTAGTGTCTCATTTCAATTTTTCATCTTCAGCAACTTTAGAAATTGACCTAAACGAATCTATAACTTTTAATGGCATAGACATTTATTTTGAAAACTTTTTAATGAATGTTATGATTTTTGTTCACATCTAATAGTCTTTAAGAGGCTAATTTATAAACTATCACTTAGCACAATACCTAAAGTACAGTATATTAGAATATGTATAAGAATTGAAAGATAATTGTGGAAATCAGAATTTGAAAATGAGGACGCTTCAAGGCAGTCCAAATCAAATAATTCATCATTAAATGTGTCCTATGCTCTGTATTGCATTACTTGAAGCACAAAACATTGTCTTATGTTACTTGAAGCATAAAAACTAATAGCTTATTTGTAAAAGTGACAATGAAATGTGTGATAATCACTGTATAAAAGCAGTACACATTTATAAATAGAATGTTATTCAGCTCATTTTTTTCATAAAGACTGAATGCTAAAGGCAAAGTCCCTAAGAAAACTAACCCATTATACTCCCTTTTCTTTAGCATTTAGCATGGAGTGCAGAAGTCCCAATAGCTGCTATATAATTAGGGAGAAAACTTATAAACTGTAAAATAGAAACCAAAGTGAATTCTCATGCTGGTTGTCAAATGAAGGCTTTTTGCTTAACTAAAAAAAATCCCTTCATAATATAGAAACTAAATATTATAAAATATAAAATCATAAGCTACCTTCTGATATTTTATATTTAGTACCTTAGATACTAAAAGTTAAATGACCAAGTGCAAGAATATTAGAGAATTATATAAAAGGCCATAAGGTAAAGTTCTCATACTAAAAATAGTTTGAAAATTTTTAAAATAATAAATATAAAACTAACCAAACTCATTAATAGATACATTACAGGTCAAATTACTATTTTCCTTAATATTGAGACCAAGAGAAAATAAGATTAAAAGATGATATTTAGGCAATTGAAATATTTAAGAAATTATGCATTTGTAAAAATTCAGTGTGATTCTTTTTAAAAATTTAATATCATTAAGAATTTTGCCATAAAATGAATAGAAACAAAATAGTTATAATAGCATTTGACATAAAAGCACTTTAGAAAATAACCTACAGATTTCTTTGATTTGCTTTGACTATGCAGATTAATGTAACAATCATACTAATGGAACCTCTTTCAAACCAGAAAATATTTTGCTGTATAAATATTTAAGTTTCACTTTATAAGCCAAGTATTGTAAATTATTATTAATATATTTTATCAGTAAGGCCATTCTGTACATAAAATACATGAAATGAGGAATTTAAATACTGATTTTAATGTAGCTAAGCCAAGTACATTGCCTTCTCTCTCCCACCTCAACCCAATAAAATATGTCAGTGTTGTATCAACTTTAATTAACACTCTAGGAGAAATTAATTAAAACTACAAACCAGAAAATAGCTTTGATTAGGTTTTGGGGGTTTGTTGGTTTAATGGTTTTTATAAAAACTGAGTAGGTTAAGAAATAAAGTATCCAATTTATCAACATGTAGAAATAAAAGTATTGGAGCCTGGGCTACAAAGTGAGTTCGAAGCCAACCTGAACTGCATAGCAAAACCCTGTCTCAAAAAAACAAAAAAAAACCATTTTTTTCTTAAGTAATCAGAGAAATATAAATTTTACTGGGCCAACATATATCAAAATTGATACACAGACTTAATGCAGTCAAAATACCAGCAGCTTCTTCACAGAACTGGAGAAAACAATCCTAAATTTCATATGGAACTAGAAGTAACCCAGAATAGCAAAAGCAATCCTGAGTAACAAGCGCAAAGCAGGAGGCATTACAATCCTGGACTTAAAGTTATATTACAAAGATACTGTGATAAAAACAGCATGGTACTGGCCCAAAAATAGACATGAGGATCAAAGGAACAGAATACAGAAACAACCTCAAGCACAATCAACTACTGTA